AGGTACATTGCAGTGACTAGGTACGTTGCAGTAACTAGGTACGTTGTAGTGGCTAGGTACATTGCAGTGGCTAGGTACGTTGTAGTGGCTAGGTACATTGTAATGGCTAGGTACGTTGCAGTGGCTAGGTACATTGTAATGGCTAGGTACGTTGTAGTGGCTAGGTACATTGCAGTGGCTAGGTACGTTGCAGTGGCTAGATACGTTGCAGTGGCTAGGAATGTTGCAGCTGTCAGGTAGCGTCAAGCTGGTTGCAACTTCTGGCAACCCCATGGCTAACAGAATGAAGCACCCTTAACCATCCTCAGGGTTGTTCCTAGCTTGAGCCCATCACGGCAGCCACTGTGTCAGTCTGTCACTGTGATGGTCTACTTCTTTTTTGTTGACCCCCGTTTACCCAGAATGATACAAACCTTTCTCTAGGGACCGGTCCCTCCATTTAACAAGTCCAAAGTATGCGAGGAAGAGGTCTCATCATCCTCGTTTCTAAGGTGCATCCTTGCTGTATTTCTCCAAGGACAGGTTTCTTTGTTCTTCTAGAGCCCAAGCTACTGTCAATATCTTTCCACTAACCCGATACTTCAACTACCTCTATTCTTCCTTGATCTTTCCTACTCATCAGTCATCTTTTGGATACATAGGAAACTATTAAAAATACCATGGCACACCTTAGCTTCAAAGTCACGTCTTTTTTTTTTTTTGCACACATTAAAAATATCTTTTTCAGCAGATTTACCCAATGTAATACATTGGTCCATGTCTTCAATAAAGTGCTTCCTAGTAAAATGAAGCTCTTTACTCCTTTAACATTTCCTGTTTATTATGATGTTGTTTATTGGTTCAGTTGTGAGGATTTTTGTTTTCTTTATGTTTTATAATTTATGTAAAAGGTTGTAGATTTTTATCTTTATGAGACATTGCTTCAAGTCCTCTTCACTTTCAGCAAGCAAGCATGTGTTATCTGTATACCAACAGTTATTCATGAGTTTTCCTCAAAGTCTGCATAGATGTCATTTCTTCCATCCTTTCTCCCATTCACTTCAGCTGCTCTACATTCAAGGGCAGGCTTCAGAGTGTCCTTTCACATCATTTGTGATCTTTGCTTTCTTTCCAGTTTTTAATCACCTTTTTCTCTCTTCATATGCGACGTCCTTGATGCCAACCTTCAACTCATTTTGTCTTCTGTCACTAGTATGTAATGCGTCAGATCTGTTTTTGAGATGTTTCATAAATTCAGGTGGGACATACGTAAGTGCTTTTTTATTTCATGAATTTGTGTTAATTGTCTTCAACTTCAACCTGAATTTACATAGGAGCAATTGATGGTCTTTTCCACAGCCAGTCCTTGGTCTTGTTCTGACTGATTAGATACTGAACTTCTCCATGATCTCTTTCCACAGATGAGTTGTTTGAACCTTTGTATTCCTTCTGGAAGGTCCACATGTATAGCTGCCATTTGTATTGTTAAACAAGGTATTTGCAAAAAATGCGTCATTGGTCTTGAAAATTATATCATGCAATCTCTGGTGTCTGTTTCTATCATTAAGGCCATATTTGCCAATTACTGATCATTCCTCTTTGTTTTCAACTTTTAACCATTCTGTCTTAGTTTTCTAGTGAGGCCATGCCCAAAGTGGATGGCTTTAACAAACATGCATTTATTCTTTCAACGTTTAGGAGGCTGAGAGTCCAAATTGACAGTGACAGGTCCAGGGGAAGGAGTTCGCTTTCTTGACTGACAGTTCAGGAAGAAGGTTTTTGTCTGTGAGCATCTGTAGGAATGGCATTCCCTGGAGCTCTCCATGTGTCTTAGCATTAATATGTCCCTGATGTAAGAGGTTCCCAGATCAGAGACCTGGGTCCAAAGGACACATTCTGCTCTCGGCTCTTTTTCTTGTAGGAGTAGGTCTTTCTCTCTCTCTCTTCTTGTTTCTCTCTCCTTTTTTCTCTTACACGATAAAATGTGTTGCAGGTCACACTTCAGGGAAATTCCCTTTACATCAGATGAGGGCTTTGACTAGATTAAGGATGTTACATCCCACCCTTAACCTCTCACGACTGATTGGCTTATGGCTATGTAACTGCCAAAATACATCATCACCTAACTGCCAAAACACTGGGAATTACATTCCATCAAAAGTGACACATTTTTAGGAGGAAACAAATCAATTCATGACAAGTAATTACCAATGCATTTTGATTAAGTGCTTGATCAATTTTAAATAGTCAAAATTAACAAAGATCTTCAATTTCTTAACCTTTGGTATGTGGGGTGGCTACATAAATTTGGATAACAGTTCTACCAACTGGTCATCTTCATTGCTGGATGGATATTACCTTGTCAATGACCACGTTATATTTCAGAGTATAACTTGACATATTCTTCTTGATAAAGATGCCATTCTCTTTCAATGAGTTGTTCCGGCATAGTGGGCAATGCTATTGTCAGAGTCACAACAGCCTATACCAACAGGGTTAGCCAAGCTGACTAGGTTTTAGGGAACTTCCAGACTAAGAAGAGACTCTGAAAAGGAGTTCGTTTGTGTGGGGGTTTTTCCTGTCCAAACTGAGGGATTCATCTTTCAGCACTTCATCAGACAATGGTCCATTGCTCTTCATATAGTTTTCAGTGGCCAGTCCTTAAAAGCTGGTCTCTTCTTCCTTCTTCTAGTGGCTTAGTCTGGAGGAGCCCCTAAAACCTGCCCACCATGGGCCAGCCTGGTGGTATTGAAAATGCCATCGGCAAAGCTTCCAGCCTCACTGCAACATGCAGCTACTCCACTCTGAGGAGGTAGCTCTTTCCCAATCGTATTTTGAGTGTCTCCCAACCTGAGGGGCTCGTCTTCTACCACTGTGTCAGACAATGCTCTGCTACTATGGAAAAGGTTTCTACAGGACAACGGTTTCAGAAGTAGATCACCACGTCCTTCTTCCTTATCTATTAGCCTGGCAGCTCTGCTGAAATCTATCCACCATGCATGGCACTGCTGGTATTTGAAATACCAGGGGACAGAGTCATAGCAACATGACAAACTGACAGGAGAGGGGGCTTCAGCCCCATAGGGATAGTTATTAAGAAACTGAAAAGAAACAGCACATTCTGGTAGTCTGATTAGTCAATTCAAATGACTTAAGCTTCCTGCCGGGTACAGAGGACTCCTATTTGAAGTATTTATGGCACGATGGAGTCTGGTGGACTGTGGTGCTGTGCCCTAAATGGGTCTCTAATCCAGGCAAGCTGTCTTGTGAGGACAAGACCTTGATTTCCCCTCATCTCAGCTTTCCTAATTGGTGAGCCTCTTGAAGTGATACTTCAAATAAAGGAACTCACCTAGAACTAGAAATATACTGAATTTCTCTAAGTGCCAAATGTTTATGAAAATTTGCAACTATAAAAGTTTTAATTTTTTATTATCATATAAGTCATTTTATGGGGGGCTCTTACAGCTCTTATAACAATCTATACATCAATTGTATCAAGCACATTTGTACGTATGTTGCAGTCTTCAGTTTCAAAATACTTTCTTTCTACTTGAGCCCTTGGTATCAGCTCCCCACCCTCCAACCCGCCCCGTGGCCCCTTGATAAATTATGTATTAT